CCACATCGGGCTCCCCGCTCGGTGGGGAGTCTGCTTCTCCCTCTGACCCTCCCCCCTCTCATGCTCTCTCTCTCTCTCTCTCATTCTCTCTCTCAAATAAATAAATAAAATCTTTAAAAAAAAAAAAAAAAGACTGGCCCTCTGGGCTTTGAGAAGCAGCCGGCTTAGCTGGGGATGAATTATGAGGAGGGGAAGCCTTAGTCAACCTTGTATGTCCCTGACCCTCTTCCTTCCTCATCCTCTGAGTTAGGACAGCTTCTGGGCCCCTAGACTGCCCTACTTGTACAAGCCCCAGGATTTTTGCCTATGTTTCCTTCTCCTTCCTGCTCACTGCTAACAGCCCCCAAGGCTTAACTTAGGTCTTTTCAAGCAGCCTTCTTTGACAGAATTTCCATCCTGGGTCCCTTCCTTGCAGTGCCTGGTGCTTACCTCACTGTAGCACGTACCACACCACATCGCATCGGCTGATTTATATATCAGTGATCCCCTCTGAGCTGTGGGTACCTCCAAAGAGTAGGAGCTGTAGCTGGTTCACCTCTATATCCTCAACTCCATACACTGGGACTGGCATATGGAAGGGCCCAACTGAATAAATGAATGGGGGAGGGAGGGAGCGAACGAAGATATACTCAGGGTCAGATACCAAAAGGTTAAGGGGACTTGGGTGGTAATGGGGGCCCTGGCTCTCCCTCCTGGGAACCAGATAACTGGTTAGAGGACCCTCAGCCTTGCCCAAGACTATGTCAGGACTCTAGAGCTGTGATTTGGTCCCACACCCATTAATATTTACCTTGGTTTGTAATTTTATTCATTTCTTTGTACAATTATTTGAATAGCATCCATGTCCCTATTAGATTGAGCTCTTTGTAGCAGCGGCTGTCTCTATTTTTGCTCATCACAAACTCCTAGTGCCCGGCACAACACCTAGCGCATAGTAGATATCCAGCAAATATTTTTTTTTTTTAAGTTGTTTCATACTAGTTTATTTAGGGGTTCCATTTTCACTCCTCAATAGATTTTGTGTATTTCTCATATGCTTCTTCACTCATTAATTCATCCAGTTCTGAAGGATCACTGAGTGCTATCTTGATCAGCCAACCATCTTCATAACAAGATTTGTTGACAAGTCCTGGATTTTCTGCAAGAGCTTCATTAATTTCAGTTACTTCTCCTGATAGAGGAGAATAGACTTCACTAGCAGCTTTCACACTTTCCAAAGCACCAAACTCATCTTGTTTGTTCAGTTTTGTCCCAACTTCAGGCAGACTATAGTAAACATCTCCCAGAGCTTCCTGTGCAAAATTGCTGATTCCCACTGTTCCAATACCATTTTCTGTTGTTATCCATTCATGTTTGTCTGTGAATTTACGCACGGAGAGCAGAGCGGAGCCGGTGCGCAGTGTCCGGACGGCGCCCGCCCTCAGCCCCCAGGGCCGCGTCAGGCACCGTGCGGCGGGCGCCGAGGCGACGCGCAGACTGCAGGCCGCAGCCCGCACGCTCCGCACCGCTCGCAGCGCCACGTTCACAGACGTGCGGGGGTCGCGGTACCTCCAGCAGATATTTGAAGAATGAATGAATATTGGAGAGAGGGAGCCCTCCACCCCAAGCCAGACCCGGGATCAGTGTGCTAAGGGAAGAAACGCAGAAACCACGCTCCCTTCACAACTTGCATCCTCTATCCCTTAATGAGTTTCTGTACCGTCACTGCCTTCAAACCACCCAGGCCCCAGCAGCCCTATCCCAGGAAGTGGGCCAGGCCCTGGGCTAAGCCTGCAGCAAAATGTTCAGGACCCCGTGAGGAGAAAGGGGTTAGCGGATTTCCCCAAGTGCCTTGGTTTATTCCATTCCTGCTTTGTATGCATCAAGCACTATTCAGCATTTTCCTATCTTTTCCTATGTTTTATTTAAATTTCTAATTTTAACTTTTAAACTACTAATAAAAACATTAGCTGATATTTTTTAGTACGTCCTATGATGTTGGCACACCCTTTACATTCATTCACTGACTGTAACCGTCTCGGGAAGTTGAAGTGATTACTATTCCTTTTTACAGACGAGGGCACCGAGGCACGGAGAAGCCGACCTGCCCAAGGTCACAGACCAGGAAGCTGGGCTTTGACTCTAAGTCTGCAGCCCTTCGCACTCACGACCCCCCAGTCACCCCAGCTTTCCAGGTTCCAATTCACGGTCTGGCCACGCAGGCTTAAATCGAAGGGCTGCTGTGCAGGTCCCTCTCCCTGGGGCCACCCTGGAGGAGGGGGATACTGTCAAGGGCGGAGTACAGCCTAGAGCACCTTCCTTTCCCTACCTGTCCGTGCTCTCTGAGCTTAGGCACAGCGAGAGGCATGAAATGGGTCATTTGGGGCTGCAACTGCCCCTCTGAGGCAGATGGGATAAGGGAGGTTTGCCATAGCTGCCCCTCCCCCAGCCTCAATACCTCCCCCCACCCCCCACCCCCCCTGGCTTCCCTCTTCAAGCACTAACTTGGAAGATCTAATTTTCTGCCCCCAGGAGTGTGTAATTAAGACTGGGCAGAGTAAGACCTCACTACCTCTCATTCCTTATCTGCTGCCAGAAAAGCCAGACAGACCCCTCCTGAGTACCCTCATTCTTTCTCTGCACTAACCACTCCCCACCCCTCCTTGCACTCCTGCTCAGAGGTCCTGAGGACTCATCCCAAGACCCCCCCCCCGCCCCCCCCCGCGAGACACAGGCTGGCTGGGTTAGGCCCCCAGGTAGGAATGCACCAAAGCAGGTGCCTTCAAGAAGGGGGTGGCTTTAGCGCTTCTGGTCTTTGCGTCCCTTCCCCCACCCCTTCTCGGTCATGGAAGCTCTAGCCTGTGTAGGTTGGATGGTTGGGGCGGGAAGGTCTGCAATGAGGACGTGTGAATCTGTGAACCTGAATAAAGGCGGTGACTTGGGGACCTGCTGTGGGTATGGCTTGGGTAAGTGCAGCGTGGCCCTGTCTGCTGTTTCAGGGGTTAAGTGAAAGGAGAGAGGTGTGCACGCAGGGGAGTACAAACCTGAACACACTTGGAGGGAAGTGTGTGCGGTGGGCTGCACAGGGCACGTCCAACAGAATACCTCACCTACCCCGCGTTTCTGGATTCAAGACCTCCCTCGAAATCTTCCGTGGGCGCACACACCAAGGGTCGCCTCTGTGCCGCTCCTGGCCCCCACTCCTCCCCCGGCGCTCAACGTCCACCCTTCCCGCCCTCCTCGCGGACCCAGTAGGGGGCGATACCTTACCTCTGCGGGCGGAGCCCCCATCCCAGACTCCCGCTAAGACTGTTAAGGTGACGGGTAGGGCGCTGAGGGGGGCAGTCCACGGGCCACCGGCCCTCTCTCACCTCGGAGCCTCAGGAGCAGGAAGTGGACACTTGAGCAGGCGCTGGGAGCGCCCCTCCTCTTTATCTGAACCCTCAGCCCGGGAATGCGGCGCGGGGTGTGCAGGACGCCACTCAGCCCCGCGTCCCCTCCCCTGGCCGCCCGCGACACCTCGCGTCGTTGACAGCTCCGGCGCCTGGGCCCAAGGCGACCTCGGACCCCCGCCACTCCCCCCGCCTCAGCAGTCCCCAGCCGGGGCTGGAGGGCTCGGCGTTGGAGCTCGGTGCCCACATCCCTCCCGAACTCTCCCCCGCCCCCACCGGGGACGCCGCGGGCCGAGCCAGGCGGGGCGCCCCTCCCCCGGGCCAGACGCTGCAGCGCGGCGCTCGGCTCCGTGGGGGGAATACTAAGGAGCGGGCGCGGCGGGAGCAGCCGGAGCAGCCGAGCGCGGGAGCGCGCAGCCGCAGGGCAGGGGAGCGGGCCGGCAGTCCGCCCCGCGCGCCGTCCGCTCCTCTGCCCCAGCTCCCGGCTCGCAGGCCGCCGCCCAGCTGCCCGGACGCTGCACGACGCCGCAGCCTCAGCGCTCCGCCGCCTCGCAGGCCTGCTCCTCTGCGCCTGAAGTAGCTGCCCCGCGCCTCCGGGACTGCGGCTGCCCAACCCCGCGCTACCTGCCCCACCGAGAACTCTGCCCTGCCAGACGTCCGGGAGATGTGTGGGGCCGCGAGGCGTGAACCCCGAGATCTACGAGGCTTTGCCCACGCCCCTCCTCCTCCCGGGTCTGGTCGAGACCCTCTAATTTAGCGTATGCGGGTACCTTGGAAACATGTTCCACGCCCAGAAAATGTTTACTGCCTGGAGGGTCCCTCCTGACACTGGGAAAAAGGACTGCATTTGCACCCCCCCCCAAAATCTGGTCTCTTTCTGTATCCAAGGGGCCTCTGAGCGCCCCCAATTTCTCCTTTGACATTTCCAGAAGCTGTTTTCTTAATCCTCTTCCTGGTTCTTGTTATTTATCCTCTGAACCTTTCAAGTGTGCAGGCAGTCTCTGGGTGGGAATCCCAGCCCCAGGCCTCACTTACTGGCTCAGCGACTTTGGGCAAGTTACTTAACCTCTCCCTTTCCTCCTCTGTAAAAAAGAGATAAAAATACTTCCGTCCCTGGCTGGTTGTTGTGAGATTAAATAAGATCCATGTATAAATGGAGCATTTTCGCCCAGTGCCTGGAGCACAGTAAGCGCCCCGGAAAGAGTAGCTGCACTTCTGGGCTGATGTTTGCTGAAAGGAGCTAGCCTCTGTATATGAACACCAGTGTAGGCTCTTGCCCTCTGTGTCCCAAGGTCACTTGGCCGCTACACCTTCAGCTCCCTCAGAGACAATGGGTGTGACAGGACTCACAAACACCAGCCAACTGGGAAGTGTCTGTCCTGACCCCAGGAACACCTGGGCCTTAGCAGGAAGGCACTCCAGGGCAGTTTGCTCTCCTGTTACTGCCCACTTCCCAGAGGTTCGAGGCAATAAGGCTGCAGCACAAGATGCAGTAAGTTAGATGCAGTAAGTTTGGTCTCCAACAAAAGACTCCAGGGAATTCTGAGGACGGCTGGTCCTGAGTGACTGTGAATCTGAGGGCATGAGGGAATCCCACCTCAGGAGGTGCAAAGAGAAGGGGCAAGAGAATCATCTTATTGCCTTTATTCCGCTGATGGCCCAGCTCGCCCCACTGCAGGGCACAGGGCCAAGCTTTTACACACTCACCCATGCTCTCTGTGCAGGCCAGTGCGTGCACAGACACACACACGCGCGCGCACACACACACACGAACACACTCACATACACATCCAAACTCTGGCTCTGAGAGTCAGTCTCTGGGGGGCAAGGGGCTACTCCTCAGCCTGCCCCTGCCTGCCCTTTTATGACAGCACCAAGGGTGGGGGTGGGGCAGGGCCCTCAGCCCCCAGAACAAGTCCCTGTGCAAACTGGAGGTGCCAGCTGGCTTCAGGATGGGGTGTCACATTTCCCCATTCCCGGAGTCCCCTCCTCCAATTCCTGAGGGAGGGGCTACTCTGCCTACCTGGGGGGGGCCAGACCCCTGCCAGGGCTGGGCCCTATAGAACCCAGGCTTATCCTCCACCTGACCCTGCCAGGACCTCCAGCACTGAAGAACAGCGAAGTCTGAGGTGGTGGGGATCCCCCACTGGAGAGCAGGAAGGCCTGGGCCCTGAGGGGCTTGGGGAGGGGTCATCACCCACTCTCCTAATCCATCTTCAATATGAAGAGGTTTGGGGCACACTTCCTGGGGAGGGAGCACAGGCCTGGAGGAGAAGTCCCAGTTTGGGCCTTCCCCAAACTTCCATCTTCTGGGCCACAGCCTAAGGCCAGGCATCCAAAAGTCCAAAAGTCCAGCCGGCTGGTCAGAGTCCCTGCACAGTCCTTGGGGGGTACCCACCCAGTGGGAGTCAGGTGTCAGACCTGCACAGGCAGTGTCTGATTCATCTGTAGCCGCATGTCCTGGATACTGCTAAGGATCTTCTTCTGATGGCCAGCCAAGGTGACCCCGATCCGGAGCAGGTCTCTGCAGATGGACCAAGGGCAGGGTCAGTCCCTCTCCTCCTGCCCACCACTCTGGGCCCTGCTCGGGGCCCCCTGCCCTGCCCATCCAAATCGGAGGCACACTCACTCTGCAGTCATCTGAGCCACCAGGTCAAAGGTTGCAAACCCCGCGCTGACAAAGCTCTCCTTGTACCGCCCCATCTTGATGGCATCTAGCCAGTCACCAACTGTCGTGAAGGTTGTGTAATCTGGGACTGTGCGGTCCAGGAGGGGCTGTGACATGCTGTGGGGAGAAGAGAAAGACTTGGTGAATCCTAATGGCAAGGGAAGCAGGGGTAGGGCTGCTGGCCCAAGAGCAGAGTGGGAACATGGGGCGCCTGGATGGCTCAGTCGGTTAAGCGTCCGACTCTTGATTTTGGCTCAGGTCATGATCCCTGGGTAGTGGGGTTGAGCCTGTGTCAGGCTCTGCGATCAGCAGGGAGTCCACTTGGGATTCTCTCTCTCCTTCTCCCTCTTCCCCTCCCCCCTGCTTATGTGCCCCCCACCCTCAATAAATAAATAAATCTTCAGAAGCAGAGTGGGAACAGAGGCAGAGATACTGACCCAGACTGGGCAGTGGCGATGACCTTGAGGCTGGCAGCATTGCGGATGAGCTTGTCCAGGGTGTTGACAATCTGGGAGAATTTGGGCCTGAGGTTCCGGTCCCGCACCCAGCAGTCCAGCATGAGCTGGTGCAGTGCGGTAGGGCAGTCCATGGGTGGGGGCAGCCGGTAATCCTGCTCTACGGCATTGATGACCTGAAGAGAGAACAGGGAAACCTGGAGTGAGCCACCACTTCACTCCCCAGCTGACTCCCACCCACCTGGCCACTCTGGCTGGCCCCACTCACATCCTGGTTGCTCATGTCCCAGTAGGGTCGCTCTCCATAGCTCATGACCTCCCACATGACGATTCCATAGCTCCAGACATCACTAGCAGAGGTGAACTTCCGATAGGCTATGGCCTCTGGGGCAGTCCAGCGGATGGGGATCTTCCCGCCCTGGTGGGGGGGGCACACGCCCTTCACCCTATGACTCGGGGCTGGTCCCCAGCCCCAAGCCCCTGCCTGGTTGGCCCCGCCCCCGGTCTCCCTCCCAGCTGCTTCCTGTACCAGGGAGCTGGTGTAGGTAGGATCAGAGGGATCATCCTCCAGGAAGCGGGAGAGGCCGAAGTCTGAGACTTTGCAGACCAGGTTGCTGTTGACAAGAATGTTGCGGGCAGCCAGGTCTCGGTGCACGTAGTTCATCTCGGATAGGTATTTCATGCCAGCAGCAATGCCCCGCAACATGCCCACCAGCTGGATGACCGTGAACTGTCCGTCGTTGAGCTGGAGGCAACAAGCAGGCTCAGGTGGGCCCATCACCTCCCTACTGGCCCAGGGCCCGCCCAGGACCTTCAGGGCCGCCCCCCTGTGCCTCCACCTACCCTCTCTAAGGCCCTGGAGACCATGCCTCACCTATCCCTGTGACTATGTGCAGAGTGCACTGAAAGTAAGCGGCCCACTGTGTGGCGGGTATCTGTATACAACATCCCAATGAACCCCGGTGAGGATCCAAATAGCTCTCACCGCTCTCATTTTATAACTACGGCAGCTCAGACCCAGAGATGTTACATAAAGCCAGAGGTCACACAGGCAGAGTCAGGATGGGAACTTGGGTCTTTCTGGCTCTGAGGACCTGGCTGTTTCCCTGCACCAGGCCACCTCAGTGAATATTTGTAGACTTGAAGAGGGTAGGGTGTGTCTGACCTTGTGGGAGGGGGTGGTGTGCCCAACACAGCTCTCTGGGGTAGCGCAGGGAGAGGGGCTGGGGGCTGGCTCTTACCCGGAGGAAGGAGTCCAGGGCACAGTTCTCCATGAACTCGGTGAGAATCATGACTGGCCGACTTTTAGTGACCACACCCTCTAGTCGGATTATGTTGGGGTGGTCAAACTGACCCATGATGGAGGCCTCACTGAGGAAGTCCCGCCGCTGCCTCTCTGTGTAGCCCACCTTCAGCGTCTTGATGGCCACGAACACCTCTCTGCGGCCTGGCTGTTTCAGCCGACCCCGGCACACCTCCCCAAATTCTCCTGCAGGGCAGAGGGCACAAGTAGGAAGGGGCTTCTGGGATTGGCCCTTGTATCCAGTGCATGCTGGCCCCTCCCTGGGGTAACCCCCCCGCCCCCCGCCCCCCCCACCTCTCCTACCCACTGTGCACTAGGGGACTCACCAGCTCCAATCACCTCCTCAATCTTGACACAGGATACATCAATTTCCTTGGCAAACTCTCGCACAGCCTCATTAGGGTCCTCATACGTAAAAGGGTCAATATAAACCTTCATTCCAGGAGCAACTAGAGGAAAAAAAGGCGGGCATGAGAGGGGCCAGTGAGGGAACTCCTCAGGCTGCGCCCTCAGGCCCAGCGTACTGGCCCCCCCCCCCAATCCCTGATGGGAGCACATTTCACACCCTCCCTCCCAAGTCTTTCCTCCCGGCTGGAGTCCCAACCCGCCCCTTCTCCACCCCCTCACCGTTCCCTCCATGAGAACTGGTGACCATAAAGGCTAGACACCGAGGATTCTTCTTCTTCTTCCTCCCTCGTCTCTCATCATGTCGAAACATCTCTCGGATTCATCCCTCCCCTCATTCCCACTGCCCCTGACCTTATCCAGGCCTTCAACACTCAGACGACTGCAATAGTCTCCCAGCTGGGCTCTCTGCCTCTGGACTTTTCCCACCAATCTATCCTGCATACCTGTCTCCCTAAAACAATACTCACATTGTGTTACTCCCCAGCTTGAGAGCCTTTCGGATTACCTATGGTGGAGTCAAGTCCCAACTCCTCTGCCTGCCTTTCACGACCCTCCGAGGACTGGCCACAACTACCCAGCCTCGCTCCCCAGCAGCTGTCAAACCAGTCTTCTCACTGCCCCCACAGTCGGGCACTCTCCCCACCCCACCCACTACCTTCCAGAGGCTCCTCTAGCCAGGAATGCTCTCCCCCACCTCCCTAGACCCTGTTCAACCCGCCTGGCTCGGCTCAGCCCAAGGCCACCTCCTCCAGGAAGGCTTCCTCTTTTCTGAACGCTTACTGCCCTTTGTAACAGGAACACCCAGCTTAACGCTAAACTGTCCTCTCCTTTTTTCCTGTGTGTACATATCTTGTCTTTCTCCTAGGATTAGCTGCCTTTGGGGAAAGGGGTCACTTCTCATGCATCTCTGGGGCTAGCGGGAGGGCGGCAGGGGCTCAGGAAGCGGCACTTGAGTGGAAGCAGGAGGGGCTATCCGGGGTAGGAGTACGAGGGATGAAATCCCAGGCAGGGGAAAAGGGTATCTCCAAGCCCTGCAGGGACCAAGGGAACTTTGCTGGGAGGCGGCAGGAGCAGGAAGAAAAGACAAACTCACCGTACTGCTGCAGCTTCTCGGTGTACTCGGAGTCAGAGCCGCGCCGCTGCCTCCTGGAGGGGGCAGGATGGAGGTGTGGCCTGAGACAAGGCCCACAGCTCCCTCTGTTCAGGGGGCCCTCGGGCTCCCAGGAGGGGGAGGGTGCACAGGGACGGCCTGGTGCCTGGCCCCACAGGTAGTGGTAACAGCAGCTACTGGGTCTCTGGGCAAGGGGTTCAGTGGACTCGGTCCCCGAGGGGATGTGCCAGGAGACAGGCAGGGGATGGGATGAGGTCAGGGGTGTGGACTACAGAGGGCCTGGCCAGTGAGGAGAGTCTGGGCCTACCAAGGGCCTCTGTGGCATGTGGGCTCGAAGGTGCTCCAGGGAAGCTCGCGCCAGCCCGTGGGAGCAAGCCGGGCCTGGGAGTACCTGAGACAGACGACAGCGATGACCACGACAGCCACCACGAAGACAAGCCCAGCCGTGGCAGAACCCACGATGAGGGGAAGCTGCTCCTGGAGCTGCTGGGCACCGGAGCCTGGAGACCGGGAGGGGACTGCGTAAGTGGAGGGATGGAAAGTGAGGAGGGATGGAGGTGAGCGGGAACAGGGGCAGTGGGGTACGTACCTCTCTCGCTTGTGGTCTCAAACTCAGCCGGACGGCTGTACTGCCCATAGCCAGCTACGGTGCGGGCACGGACCTGGACCACATAGCGGGCATCAGGCCGCAACCCGCCCAGCTGCACCGAGTTCTTCTGGCTGGTCACCGTGGAGGCAATGCCCTCACTCTGCAACACCGGGAGAAATGAGGCGCCTCAGTGGCCCTAAGGCCCATCGCCCCTGCCGCCCCCCAGGGCCCACCCGTGGCTGCCTCAGTACCCAAGAGGTACTTGCTCCCAGGGGCCCCTGACGCTATCTGGGGGTCATCTTCTCACCCCAAGGCCTCTGCCTGCCCCTCAAGGCTCTGACCTTCTCAAAGTACTTCATCTCGTAGTCCAGGATGACTCCATTGGGCCGCTCTGGGGGTGCCCAGGACAGGGTCAGGCTGCTGCCTGAGCTGCTGTGCAGATGTAGTGTAGGCACTTCGGACGGGGCTAAGAGAAGATGGGTGCAGGGGCTCACAATGGGCTCCTCGGGCCCTGGCGTCCTTCCCAAGGACCCGGTTCCCAGGGGACCCCTGGTGGTCCACTGGCAGGCCCTGGGCAACCTCAGCTCCGTGTGGGAGAAAATGACCTAGGCCCTACCCTCCCATGCCCCCTCCTCCTCACCAGCCTGGTTGGTGGTGATATTCACAGCCGCGTAGCGCGGGGGCAGCGGACTCTTGCCCGAGACACCGTTGACGGCCTGCACCTCAAAGGTGTAGCGTGTATGGGCCAGCAGATGGCTGATGTGGACCCGGCGCTCTGTCAGGCCCAGCTGCCGAGGCACAAACTCCACATTGTCATCACAGCGCGAGCAGGCCGGGATGCCCCCGGCCCCAGGGCCCCCGTGGCACTTCTTGCAGATGACGTTGTATAGGAGGTCGTCCCGGCCACCCAGGTCCCGGGGCTCACTCCACTCGAGGATCAGTGAGGTCTCATTCACATTGGAGATCACACCCCGGGGGGGAGATGGCACCGCTGTAGGGAAGGTGGAGGGAGAGGGCAGTAAGCTAGGGCCCCAGCACCACCCTTCCACCCAGAGTTCCTGCCTACCGCAAGCAGCTTCCTACTGCCTTGCTCTTGTCTCCGTGTTAATAAGCAGAATAGCTTTCCTACACTTCTCCACTGGGAAGACTCTAGTTAGCCTTCAAGGCTCAACTTGAGATGTCACCACCTCTTGGAAGCCTTCCTTGATTCTCCTCCTTCCTATCCTCTGCACCCCCATGGCACAATTCCTGGGCATCCTGCCAGCCCGGCACTTAGCACATTATATGGTCATTACCTGTTTTCATATCTGTTTCTCCCACCAGGTGGCAAGCTCCTTTAGGACAGTGACTGGATCTTATAGTCCCCCACATCACTGGCACCTGGCACAATGCCTGGCACCAAAGGCCAGAGCAGGGAGGAAGCAGGGCACTGGGCTGCCCCAAGGATGTGAGGCCCCCTCTATGGTTGGGGTTGGGCCAGGAGAACAGCAGTTCTACACAGTGGGAGGAGTGAGGGGCTAGAGGTCCAATGGCTCCGGATGCCTGGCTAGGAGCTGGTGGGCGCTTCCTCAGTGTTGGTGGAAAGGCTGAGGCGGCTGACCTAGATTCTGGCTCAGGGCCAGTCACTTCTCAGCTGTGCCATGTTGCGCACAACATTGCACCTCCCCAAGCCTCAGTTTCTCTACCTGGAAAGCGGCCATTCATAGCAACCGTCTCGGGCCCTCGGGCAGGGCCACGAGTTCACTTACTGGTACAGGCACTGTCTGCAGAGTCCGAATCCGCACGGTAGAAGTTACTGTAGCAGGTGCAGATGCTGGCGGCTGCCGAGGCAGTGCGGCTGTGGGACGGGCAGGGGAGGCAGGGCCCCTCTCCCTGCTTCGCCTTGTAACTCCCAGGGGGACAGGCTGCGTGGGAGAAGAAAATGGGCGTGCTCATCAGATCGGTGAGAATCTGGCCCTCCCCCAGCCCTGGTCTTGGCCCCTCCACCTCCTAGACTGTGGGGGCTATGCTGGGATTGCCTAACTCCAGTGCAGCTACAAAAGGCCCTTTTGCCCTGTGGAAATCCCACGTCAGCGGATTCCTCCCCGCCCCGGCCCCCCACCCCTACCCCAGGGCCTCACGGGCGAAGACGTCAGCCCCATCACCTGGGCAGCCTGGGCTTGTTGAGGCACGGAAGGGAGAGAGAAGGAATAGGTGGGGTGGGGAAGAGACCACTGGCAGGTTGGCGGCACCCTCTACTCTGCCAGGATGCTCCCGCCCCCTCCCTGAAAGTGGAGGAAAATCACTGGAGGACCCTCACGGCCACCCCGGAACAGGCAGAGGCGGCGCCTTGCTCCCAGGACCAGTTTCTCTCCCCACCCACCAGGAGCAGGGCAGCGGCTCCTTCCTGCCCTTGGGCAGGGGTGGGGGCTGAAAGAGGGCTGAGAAAAGGAGAAAAAGACAGCAGGCAGGAAGGCTGGGGTCACCAGGAGTTCAGAGGCCTCAAAGCATCCACAAGGGGCACCCCAGGCCCCAAAGCGAGCCCAGAGCTGGGTGCCTGAACATCCCTTCTCCTCAGTTTCCTCTCTTGTCATCTACACTGGGGCCCCTGGTCCTGGGCTGTGGGGTTCTGCCTGTCTATGAGAGCGAGAGAATTTATTATTCAAACTGGAATACTTTGAGAGCAAAAGGGACCGCTAGTAATAATCATGTGATAATGAGCATAAGCCAGGACTGCCCCAGACATGTGAAAGCATATGGTCACTCTATCCATATATGACTGCCCCTGGGGAGGTCATCCAGAGTGTGGAATGCCCAGAGTTGGGGTTATGCTTTTCTCTGGGATTTAATCTCCCTCTCACTAAGGTGATATTCCACCCAAGCTCTTTTGAGCCAGTGGGGGAGGGGGCAGAGGCCAGGCCAGGCTGGTTGCTATGGGAACCAGCATGCATTTCCTGCCAGGGACCTGCAGAGTGTTAGCCCCTCTTCAGGCTGTCAGGCTCATCACCCCCACCCCCTTTCTCCACTTAGGAAGAGGAAGTCTGGGGCAGGTTCCTGTAGAGAAGTGGAGAGGGGCCGGGCAAGGCACTATTCACCTTGCCATGCCAACACCCAACACGGGGCCTCCCAGCCAGGTGGGGCAGCCAGTCCCCCTCACACCTCGTGCTGTGCTAAGAGCCAGCCCCCACCCCTCAGAGTTACAGGCTGCAAGTGCCAGGGCAGAAGGGATAGAAGGCAAGGCCCTTAGCATCTTGCCCTGCACGGTAGAGCACTGGACAAGGCTGTAGCCCCAACTCCCACATTCCCAGCTACGACACTTTGACTGTAGCTGTTCTCGGAGACTCCGTTTCCTTACTGGCAAACTGAGGCTCGAATGAGAACCCTTCGTGAATGGGTTTTAGAGCCGGAAGTCTAGTACACCGTAAGGTCTTAGGAGTCTCGGCAAGCCACCACGGATAAGCCTCCTAACCTCCTCCTGTATGAAATAAGGACAAGAGAATCCCTGTCCCCCACGCATCCCCTGGCTCCCAAGAGAGTCACGGCTGACGCTTCGGTGGTGATGGTGTTGCCACGTGCCAGGCACTTTTCCAAGAGCTTCACGTGCATTGACTCACTTAAGCCCACTACAAGTCCATAGAGGAAGCCCCAGGATTGTCCCCATCTTGCGCACGAGGAAACCGAGGTTCCAAGAGTTAAGTAACGTGCCCAAGGTCCCACCAGTGCTAAGTGACAGAGTTAGGACTCAGACTTCAGAGACTGGGCCCCCAACCGCTGTGCTGTAAACACTGCTTCTCAAGGAGCAAATGAGACTTCAAGGTAAAAGGGCCAAGCGTGAGTGCCCACAGCCCCTGTCCCCACAGCTCGGAGGCCCAGTGAGTACTTCCAGGGTGGGGTGTCCACTTGGGGCCGAACAAAGCAGGCATCTCTGCCGGCTTCCCACCTCTCTGCCCAGGGGCCTCCTTACCAAGGATTCTCCATGTTTCTCTTCCAGTCTCTTTAGTTTCTTTTTTATCTCTTATGATGCTGGTGCGTCTCCTCAACGCCCCTCCTCTCCCTCCTTGCAGCACATTCTGTGCACTCGAGACCCCTCTTCCCTTTCCTCCCTCTGCCTCAGACCCGACGCCAGAACTCCCGGACTGGCAGGTAGGAGCCCTCCCCACCCCCAGCCCCAGGCCAGTCCCCACTCACGGCGGCACTGGGACTCCTTGGCAGCTGGCTCATGGCCGGTGGCACAGGTGCAGGCTCCCACGGGCACCATCCACTCCCCATCGCCATTGCAGTAGAGCTTGAGTGGTACGGACACCTCCACGGCATTAGCGATGCAGGTGCCAGGGGCAATGACCAGAGAGGTGGGCTCGGCCCCAGTGAGGGTCTCGGGGAAAAGGGCGAAGCCTGCGGTGGTGGAGGCACACTTCTTGTAGAAGGCCCGCACAGAGATGAGCGACATGCAGGCACCCTGGTCCTGGAAGGCCAAGTAGAAACCGGCCTTGGAGAGCGGCCCAAAGCTTCGCACCTTGGTATTGACACGGCCAGCATCAAGCCGCGAGAAGCTCTCATCGGGCGCGATGGTGTCCACCTTCACATAGGGGTTCTCCATCCAGAAAGGGGAGGAGGCCGAGGCCACATCGCTGTCAGCCTCGTAGTAGAAGAGGTTGAAGGTCTCTTTGCAGGAGCCAGGGATGTTGGGGATGCTGTTGCAGTCACGCACGGTAAACTTGAGCTCCACGTAGACGCGCTGCACCTCTCGCCGCCAGATGAAGCCCGTGCGAAGCCAGTTGTTCTGGCTTGACTCCTGCACGTTACACACCTGGTACGTGCGGATGGGGTTCATGGCCTCATCATAGCCACTCACCTCTTCCCACTGTGCATGGGCCAAGTGAAAAAGACAGAGTGAGCGCCAACACGTGCCAGGTGCTTGCCACATGCCCAGATCCACGTTTACTTCACAGAGATGCTTCTGTGGTGTACTGGCTGAGCATGCAGACTACATGGGTTCAAATCCCAGTCCTTGCTGTGTGACTATGGGTCAAGCCACTCAACCTCCCTGTACCACCGTTTCCCCATCTGTAACATGGCGAGAATAAAGCCATATAAGGAATAAATGAGTTCAAGTGAATAAAAAACTTAGAGCATTTGATAAGTATTATGGGACTATTAGCTATAATATTTGTTATCTTTGTGCCTCAGTTTCACTGTCTATAAATGGGGCTGATTGGATAAAAATGACACGGTAGGGAATCAAATCAGTTTAATATATATAATAGGCCCAGGGAGTCTGGGTGGCTCAGTCGTTAAGTGTCTGCCTTCGGCTCGGGTCATGATCCCGGGGTCCTGGGATCGGGTCCCACACTGGGCTCCCTGCTCTGCAGGAAGCCTGCTTCCCCCTCTCCCACTCCCCCTGCTTGTGTACCTGCTCTCGCTATCTCTGTCTCTGTCAAATAAGTAAATAAAATCTTTAACAACAACAACAAAAATACATATATATATATATATATACACAATGGGCCTGTAACAATGTCCCATACAGAGCACGCATTCAATGAACACTGGCTGTCACTATCACATTTAACCTTCACTGTAACCCCATGAGAAGGTACATCTGTTGTCTTGTCCCCACTCTACAGAAGAGGAAGCCAAGACTCTCAAAGGCAGAGACTTGCCCAAGGTCACACAGTCAGGTCTGGTAATGAGGGCCTGGAGCGCCATCCCACCCCAGTGTTTCAGAGCTCAGTGGAGTTGTGAAGGCCATCTAGGGAGGTTAATTAGAATATTTCAGAAACGTCAGAACTACAGGAATTTAACTGTTTAGAAATGGAAGCCCAGAAAAGTAAACTGCCTTGCTAAAAGTCACATAGCAAGTTAGAGATCTGGAGCCAAGGTTTCCTGGTCCCCAAGACAGTGCCCTACCCAGGGACCCAGGAAGGAGAAAGATGGTTGGAGAAGATAGGCAAAGAGCTCTCAGGCAGGAGAGGGATGGTGACAGGCTGAAGGCAGGCTGAGGGGCAGGCAGAGGGAGAGGGGGACAAAAACGCTGTGTGTGGGGGAGGAGGACACAGACAGGCTGAAGGCTGAAAGGGTGGGAAATACCCAGAGGCAAAGAAGGAAGGTGACAGGTGCAGGGGATGGGAATGACACAGGAGGTGAAACTGATAGGCAGGGGGCAGAGGCAGCCCTTCTGAGGCCCTGGTGAGGCGAGGGGAATGGACGCTGGTGGAGGAAGTGGCCTACTTGACAACCAGCCCTCAGGGGAGATGGTGGGAAAGGCTTACCCCACTTTCTGGATGAGATGTCCATGCCAACTCCGATGTCACCCATTTTGTGTCCATGAGGGTTTCTGGGGAGCAAGAGAAGAACAAAGGTCAGAGGCCATGCTCAGGATGGGGAGAAAGAGGTCGTCCAAGAAAGGCCAGGACACCAGAGAATGATTCCCACCAGGCCCCACCCCAACCCACCCCATCCCACCCCAACCCCCCCCCCCAAGTCCTCGAAGCTCTCAGCCACCCTGCCCTGGAGAAGAGCCTGCAGCCATCCCCGGAAACGTTATAGCCCCAAAGACATGAGCCGTCAGGTCGGCCAGTCGGAGGTGCGTGTGTGCTACTGACACCAGCCGGGGTTACGGAGGCAAAAGCCAGGCCCAGTTCACACACCTACAGGCTCGGCTAATCTCCACACAAGGGGGTGCCAGGCCCTTTATCCTGGAACAAAGGACCGTGTCCTTCAGACCCTGCTGCCCAGGCCTCCCCTGACCCCATCCCCAACACAAAGGCCCGGCACCACACATGCCCAGGGGAATGGGAGGGCAGCTACAGGGCGGAGCCTGCTCCCACCCAGCCTCCCACTCAAACACCTCTGGGGGATGGGGCACAAATACTCTTTGAGGCTGGGCTGAGGGCCACCATGACAACCTAGTTCAGTTCTTTCCACAGTCCTTGGATAAAGGTGCTGTTGGTGTACCCCTTTTACAGGTGAGAAAACTGAGGCCCAGATAAAGTAAACATATGGCCTAAGGTAAAACTGCTAGGACTTGGGGTGAAGGGCTGAAAGGTAGCGGACTCCATAACTAACCCCTCAACCAGAGCACTCTGACTACAGTGTGAAGGGAAGAAGAGAGAAAGCCTAGAAAGCTCCTGTATATCCGGTAAGTCCCAATCCAGCTGTCACCTCCTCCAGGAAGCCTCCCCTGAACCAACAAATTAGGGTTAGATTCCTTCCTCTGTGCATCCAGGGCCAGGGGCTTTGTCACAGCAGCACCAATCCTGTTCGAAGCTTCAGTTTCTTATCTGTTTCCCCTTGCTCAGCCACAGGAGGGGCCCGTTAACGTTTCTGACATAAACTCACTCCCCTAGGAATCAGGTTCTGGGTTCTGACTGAACAATTCTACTCTCTGGGAGGAGAGAGATGCCAACTCCTTTCCTAGATCCTGGGAGACAGGGCAGCCAGCAATTCTCCCCTCTGCCCTGAGCTGGAAGAGGGCAGGCTGGGGCTGCCCAGGAGGAGAAAGACCCAAACCCCACACGTTCCAGGCTTATGGCCTTCACTGGTTTCCTGCAGTCTGGGTCTGAGCTGAGGATGGTGGGTGACGCAGCTGTGGCCCCAGACCCTCATGTAAGGCAAAGGGGGAGTGAAGCTCCCTCTTCTTCTATCAGAGGTGGCTGGTCCCTGGAGGACCTGGCTGCAGGGAGAGCCATCCCAGCCTCATCGGTCACTGGCCCGACAGGCCTCTCTGGCAGACAGACAGACAGACACAGACATTTGGCAGGGGGCTAGAGGAGGCAAGGAGAGATGGGCAGAAGCAGGGGCCCAGAGACAGGCAGGGAGAGAGGTGGTGGAGCAGGGGCCTCGCCGAGGCGGATGGTGGGTGGCTCCGAGCTGGAAGGACGTGCAGAGCCGGCTGGCTAGGACCAGCCAGTGGGGTGGCCAACTGAGGACTACAGAAGACGGTGAGCTGCAGAGACAAGGAGGCCCGAGGAGACAGAGACAGAGAGGGAGGTTTCCAAGTAGCCTCTTCCCCAGCCAGCAGCCCAGAGTATTCCTGTCCCTGGAGCTGGTTGAGCCCAGCGCACCCCCTCCCCCCCAAGCCAGCCAGCCAGCCAGCCAGCCAGCCAGTCCGCCTGCTTGTCTGCCCGCTGCCCACCACCCGCCCGCCCCGAGCAGGCAGGGGCTCCCACCGCTCCCTCGAGCTGCCTCCCTCCTCCCTCTCCCTCACTTCCTTCTGCTCAGCCTGTGCCAAACCCATCTGGAACTGTTTAAACCCAAATATTCAGCCCCCTCCCCCCTCCAGCCAGATTCCTCCACAGTTTAAAACAAGCCCTGTGCTGGCTCTGAGAGAGGACTGAGGGGAGGGAGGGGACGGTGGGGACCGGGGGGGGGGGGGGGGGGCAGGGGTGGAGGGAGGCTCTTCATTTCTGTTTAATTTCTGGGGAGCGGGAGAGGGAGGGGGCGGGGATCGGCCCTTGGCCATCGCTCAGCCTTGGCCATCGCTCAATCTCGGCACATTTTTCCCATTAATGAGGAGAGGACTTGGATTTCGAGTCATGTGTGCCGGAGGAAGGGCTCCGGTCACCCTGGTGGGGAGGGGGCTTGCTCTCTGGGGGAGGGGAGGGGCCTGCTCCCTTCAGCAAGAGGGAGACCCTGAGGTGCCTGTGTCCCAGCCTCAGGAAGGGCATGGAGGGGGTCCCAGCATCCATCCGTCTGTGGCATTGGGAGGGACAGACCCAACCCGACAGAGCCCACCTTTCCTCGGCTACGTGTGTGCCGCACGCGCGTGCGCGTACTCAAGCTGGGGTGAAGAACATGAGGTACAGGGGTAAGGACAAAAGAGGACTGAGTGAGCAGTTTCCAAGCTCCCCAGCTGCCAACCGCACCCCCATCCTCCTCTGCCCCCCATGTGGCTGCTGGAGGGAGACCAGAAGGCAGACAGCCACTCTCTGCTACAGGGCTCTGTCAGGCCGGAAACCCCCCCCCCGGCCCCTCTCAAGTGAGCAGGGAAGTGGACAGCAGGCCTGGGGGCTTTCTGGAACTGGGGCTTCAACACTCAGAAGTGAACCAGCACCCCTTTCAGGTTTCCAAGGGGCCACAGAGAATGGCCACGCGGCAGCAGCTGCGTGGCTCTTGCCTGTGCACAAATACACACCCGCACAAGCATTCCCCGTTCCCAGGGGCTAGGCTCATTCTCTGCCACTGGGGCCAAAGAATGACAAGTCAACACATATGGTGGACAAAAACACACAAAGCCACAGCCGCCCGCAAACACACACACACACACACACACACACACACACACACACACGGCTTCATACACAGCCATGGTCTGTCTTTTTCAGACACACAGATGCATATAGTACAAACAGATTAGTCTCCCTTAGACATTCACATACAGTGAAGCTTTCCTACACACGGAGTTGGTTTGCCTTAGGCAAACACTCGCTCTTACAGTCTTCATACGTGCAGATTTCCAGAGACATCGGCGTACATGGAGGGCACGCACACCGAACAGTACATTCTCCTTACACACCCAACTGCACACGATTGCCAGTCCCATGTCACAGTCTTGAGTGTAGTCAAGTGCAAACCCAAACACCAGTTTCTCCATACAGACTCGACGACGTGCTCTTACGCAGTCACGCACAGCAGGCATCAGCTGCACATACTGACGCGCGTGTGCACTCAAACGTGCCACAGGAGCACGCGGTGTTAATGCCCACATCCATGGTTTGGATAAAGCCTCAGAGGTGCATCCTCCACGCACATGCAATGCACGCGCGTGCGCGCGCGCGCGCGCGCACACACACACACACACACACACACACACATTGCAAGCATGTTCTTTCTATGAGCTGAGTCTTCAGGTGGGGTGGAGGAAGGCCTAGGAGAAGGCAGTGTCTGCTAAGAAAGCAGAGCGACTGAGCCAGTCTTGGCCAGAGGTGCAGGGAAGAAGCAAGGTCTGCCCCCAGACCTGCTTCCCGTGGAGAAGGCAGTGTCTGCTAAGAAAGCAGAGCGACTGGGCCAGTCTTGGCCAGAGGTGCAGGGAAGGAGCAAGGTGTGCCCCCAGACCTGCTTCCCGTGGCCCTGGCCAAGGCAGGAGTGGTCACTGGTCATGAGACTGGGGATGGGGCAAGGACCTGAAGATGATTCTGGGTGTGGCTGGGTGTGGCCTCCCCAGGTACTTCCCGGCCAGCACAATGGCACTGTCCCCAGCACTGAGCCCTTGGAGAGGGGTGGCATCATGAAGAGACTTAGCCCCAGGAGCTTTGGGCAACACTTCCACACATACATTGGGCACCCAGCCTGTGTCTGAGGGCCTCACTGGGCAGCCCTGGTGCAGCTGGGAGCCAGCCACCAACCCTGGTGAAGGGCCAAGTACACACAACTTTATGGAACTGCCAGACCCCACAGCACCCCAGGTCCCAAGTCACAGAGAGGACGCACATCTGTGTCAGTGAGACCCAGGGAATCAAAAAACCCCAGAGACAAAAGCAAGAAGCCCAAGCTCCAGATGAGGGACTTTAAGGCGGTGGGGAAGGTCATGCTCCCGGGCTAGGCCAGTGGAGTGTGCAGGGGCAGGTGGACCGAGTGGCAGAATCTGGACAAGAAGGCGCATAGCCCTGCCTGCAAAGAGAGGGAGAAAAACCCCATGCCAGCCCTGAGTTGGTCTCCCTCCTCCTTGATGGGGTCCCCACCTCGGCCAACCAACCCAAGGGATCTGTCCCATCTTCTTCCATCTTGCCCCTACCCTGTGTGTCAGTGGGTGTACATGTGTGTACCAAGCTGCACATTCAGGGTGGTCAGCCCGAGGAGGAAGGGGGCCTGGGGGGGGGGGTTGCTATGGGACCTAGAAGAGCCTAACTCACCCCCCCCCCCAGCTACCTCTCCCTTTCTCCACCCATGGCCCCCTGGCCCTCCATTCTGGGATGGAGGGGAGGGGAGCATCTCAAAACAGAGAACACATTTTGTTTTCCATTCCTCCCTTCAGATCGTGGGGATTTATAATTAAATAAACCTGAGAGGGAGAAGGGAGGAGACAGCACAGAGCAAGGAGCCCAGATGCCTCAGTGTTCATCCATGCCCCCACCCTAGTCCTGGCCTTGCCAGCCAGCCAGGACGGATGGACAGCTAGCCCTTCAGTGAGGCCTCTGAGCCCTTCCCTGGGATCCCAGTCACAGTGGCTCTGGCCAGGGGTCTGGGGGCAGAAGGCAATAGGAGATCTGGGGCCAGGGCAGCCCTTGGGGCAGGGGGCCTCTCCCACCCCATCAGGTGCCCAGCTGTACCCAGTCTCCCTCCCCCCCCACCTCCCCAGCTGCCCAATCCCGACAAACCAGTTTGACTCAGCACAACAGGCAGGGCTACAATTTTCAAACTATGCAGGCCTGGTGATTCAGCCTCTTCATGCTGTTTAATTAGTGTAAGGCCGGGTGGCGGAGGCCTTGCCCACGGCAGCTTGGGCTTTAGCTCCCCGCCGCTGAGGCCACAGAGCGGGAGGTAGCAGCAGCTCTGGCTAAAGGGAAGGCAGTGAGGAGCAAACTGGTTCCCCCAAATACCTGCCACCATCCTTCGGTGGCAGCTCTGAGGTGCCAGCTCGTGACAAACAGGGATGGGGTGGGGGCGCCAGAGGCAACTCTAGGAGTGAGCCAGCCCCGAAATCCCAGGCCTGGCGTCCACTCTCAGCGAACACCTCCTCAGGGCCACGGCTGTTGCCTCAGAGGGCGAGAGGGACTCACACACCAGGGGCACTGCGGCCGTCCCCACCTCTTGCACCTGGCAACCGGTTCTCTTTCCTCACAAGGGTAGGCTCTCTGCAGACCTCCCCCTCCCATCTAAGGGGTAAGGCCCCTACGGCCCAGACTTCCTTCCTCATCCCACGCTTGTTCCTGGTCTGCTCACCTTCCGGTTCGTGGTCCTGAAGGGGAGAAGGATCTTGGCTCGGGGGCCTGGGAGACACTACTCGAAAGGAGAGTCTGCAAGGAGGTGGCCCCGTTTCCTTAGGACTGAGGGTAAATCTGAGGGCAAAATCTGTGTGTGTTTGCAGGGAGAGGTAAGCAGTCAGAGGGCAAGGTGAGAGGAGTTTCCTCAACCAAGGAGGACGAGCAAGGACCCTGGCTCCACCCTCATAGGAAAACTGATGAGGTCCTTGGATGCAGTCTTGGTGGACCCCAAGTATGTAGGGAGGTAGAGCAACCAGGTGCTAGACAGCACCTAACCAGGGGATCCATAACCGAAACAGTACACACAACTCAGGACTCTGGGCCTAGATATAATGGCCCCCCGATGCAGAGAGCCAAAAGGCTCCCCTAGGCCCAGGGCAAACCAAATCCTGGCAAAGCCAAATGGAAGGTTGGAGCAAGGAGCCTGGATCCCCTGCCTGTAAAGCTTGGGAGTGGGGAGGGTCCCAGCTAGCCCTGCCAGGTGGTCATAGCCCAGGACCACCAAGTCCTCCCACCTCACCCTTCAAGCTCCAGACAGGGCTGGGGGATGGGCAGGACACAGACAGCTGCCCCTGACCTCGCTCTCATCCCATCCCATCCCATCCCAGAGCTGAAGGGAGATGGAAGTGGGGAGACAACTTTCTCTTCAGACCAACCTTCTCCCTTCACCCCCCGCTTCCTCTAACCTCCCTCCAGCAGGTAAGGCACACACCAGTTTCACTTCTGTCCCTCCTCAGAGAGCAGACCCTAGAATAATAATAATAGCAGTTAATCCCTAAATAATAATGGCTGTGTGCTAAACACCCCACACACATTAAGGACACAATCTTCCCTACAACTCTAAGACAGTGGGTACTATCGCTAATCCATCTCACAACGAGGGAGAACTGAGTGGGTAGGCGTATTTCTGTGTGGGGGTCTGCGCCCCAAAGCATCTCTCTTTTTCTTTTCATTGTCCTGCACACAAACTGAAAACCCTAAGATTTGAGGTATGGCAAAAGTAAAGGATCTGGTAAAAGCCACACATGGAAGGCACTGCTACTTCCTTGGGGCACCCCACACTGGCCTGGCCTGCCAGCCACCACCTGCCCAGTCGGGGAGTAGCCCCAGACACAGCTGGGGCGGGGGGAAGGAGGGACAAGTTGGGGCCCTGCTGCCCTCTCTTTCTTGTGCTGCTACTGCTCATGGGTCCTCTGTCTCCTGGTCAGCCCCTCAGTGTTCTGGCCTGGAGGCCTGGAGGCCTGGAGGCCAGCTCCCAGCTATGGCCTGCCACTGAGGGTCCAGCAGATCATGAGGGGTGAAGAGGAGGAAGAAAGGGAGGAAGGAGTGAGCCTCTTCGGGTAGCCCTTGCTCACCTGACCCAAACCACACCCCCTCCACCCCACTGGCAGCACCAGCACCCACCACACCTGACAAGGGCCCCGCGCCTAGCACACACACAGCCCCATAAGCGCCTGTGCCTCTGTTGCCCCTCTTGGGCTAAGACACAGAGACACAGACCTGGGAACCTCAACAGGCTCCCTGGCTCACACCCTTGAGGCAATCAACAACAAAGCCCCACACTGGTTTCTCACGCCTGAGATCCTATCACACACATGTGGGCGCGACCTCAGTGTGTCTGCTTGGATTTGCATGTGTCCACCCGTGTGAATCGGTCTGTCAGGGCTGGTGGGCTCAGAGATAAAAGGGGGTGGGGGTTCATAGGAACATTTTTTCCATAGAGAAAATTGGAAAGCACCAGAAGATGCCTTTCTTTCAGAACTGTGCTCTTTCTTCCTTCCAACCTTTAAGTTTGCCAGTTGTGAACATACAAACAAACCAAGTTACACAGAATTCATATTTTTGTTTCTGTACGAAGAAAGTGACTAGGTTGGCTGTGAAAGACGCCGAAAATAAGTACTGTCTATATTCCAATTTCCCCCAAATTTCTGTGGTGTCCTGCCCTCCACATTAAGGAAGGTTTTTTTTTTCTCTCATTTAATGGCTTCAAATTTTTTGGAAACTCTGTGTGTGTGCGTCTATTGTTTGTAACCAGTGTCAGCGCCTCTGTCTCCCGCAGGCTCGTGTCAAGTGGCCACATGTGTGTGAGCTCTCCCACCAGAGCCAACAGCATCCTGTTCACCCAAGTACAGTGGCTTGCAAGTTGGAGCCCCCCCCCCCCCCCCAGCACTGTCTGGGTAGGTTTCACACAACCTATTGAGAAACTCGGCCTTTCCCCACCGGCAAATGGGGCAAAACCCTGAACTTCGGGGCTCAACGGAGACCCGAGCACTCGGATGTCCTGCTAGAAGGCGGAGGAGAGCCGCAGAGCAGCGCGCACTGCCCGTGCACGCAGCACTTCGTGGGTAACTGGCGCTCCATAAACCATAAACAATAACAGGCCCCCGCCTCTCCACCCCCGCAGCCATCCCCTGACAAAGCGGGGTGCACGTACTCACACCTCTCACAGTCAACTCCAACGGCTTCCTAACCAACGCCGCCCCCCCAACCTGGGAGTCCCGCTTCGCCCCCACCCGCCACGGCCCCGCGGCAGTCTCAGAGGCCCCCGCTTCGCCCGGTGGGTCGCCCACACTCCCTCGCCTCCCCGGGCCGCTGAGGGCCCCGCTCCTCTGCGGTGAGTGCGGGGTTCTCCCCCAAGAGCTCACAGCGCTGCCGTGACTTTCGGGGACGCTCAACCCGAGTCCAGCTGCTCGAGAGCCACGATCCGCGTACCGCCGGCCTCGGAGCCAGCTGAAGCCTGCGAGGCGGCTCCGGGGGCGTCCTCCCCACCCCGTCCTCCGGCCCCCGGAGCGGCGGCGCGGGTGACGGAGCCTCCTCCGACGTGCGCCCAGCGGGCATCTGACCCACCCCGCGGGTCCCCCTCCGGCCTACGCTCGGGCGACCCCGGGCACCGTAAGCCTTGGACGCGCCCACCGACGCCGCTCACCTTCCAGCGCCCGACAGCCGGTGGACAGCAGCAGCGGCAGCAGCAGCAGCGGAGGAAGCAGCGGCAGGAGCCCCGGCGGCGGCGGCGGCGGCGGTGGCGGCGGCGGCGGGCGGGCTCGGGCCATGGCCGGGGCGGGCTCCGGGAGCCGAGCCGGGCCGCGCCGGGCCGCGCCGGCGGGGCTGCAGGCACCCGGGGAAGGATCCGCTCCTCGGGCTCCGAGGAACGCTCGCGTACGGTCCCAGGAGATCCGGGCAAGGAAAGGGTGCGATCCAGGCGGGCGGCTCCGGGACCGAGGCGGCGGCCCGAGCCTGGCGATGCTGGGGGATGCAGGCAGGTCGGACCCGCGGGAATCTGGACGGACCGGTCCAGGGAGATCCCGGGCGCTGGAGAGCTCGGAGCCGAGACCTCCGGGAGGCGGGCGGGAGCGGGAGGGCGCAAGTGGTGGTAGTTCGGGGGCACAGTTATCTGGCGGTCTGCCGCGGGCCCGACTCGGATCCGGGGCTCCGGGTGCGCGCGCCGTCCGGGGTCCGAGCAGGGATCTTGCTGCGCCGCTCACCTACTCACTTCTGCTGTCCCCAGCGCCGGCGCTGCCGCTCTGGGCGAGAGGGGCGGGACCGGCCTCCTGCCTGTCAGCGCCGTGGCCCCGCCCCTAGCTGCGGGCCGCCCACTCACAGACCGCCAGGCGCACTGGTTCGGCCTCGGGAGCTCTCTGCTGGAGTTCAGTTGGCGGCGCCTCCATCAAGCCCACCTTCGGGGTCTCCGAAGCCTGGAGTGGGCGGGGCCAAGGAAAAGATGAATTAGATTGGGCGGAGCGATGCTGTCAATCAAGCGAAAACCCCGCCTCCTGTTTCCAATTGGCCACTAGTAACCGAACCTGAGTATGAAGTGATGCCAGTCATATACAACAAGCTGAGGGCGCCCCCCTGTGGTCTGCACGCGCCCAGGGACGCCCCCACGTGGCTGTCTTTTCTCCAGGCACCTCCAGACCCTAAACTGAGTTTAGGCACTATCAAGGGGGCCACCATCCGCAACACATCCTATGACCAGGGCCTTCTGCTCTTTTATTTATTCATTCATTCACTCATTCAGCCATTCTTTGAGCATAGACTCTATTACTGCCGGTGCTACAGCAATAGAGGTCTGCCTTCTCTTGGAGCTAGTTTAGTGATGGAGGCAGGCATGAAGTCATCACGGTAGAGTATAATAGGTATTATTATGGAGGAAAGACAGAGTTGCCAGAGCACATGTGAGGGGAATAGCTACATCTGGCCCTGAGTAAATGACATTTCAGTTGAAATATGAAAGATAAGTAGTATGTGAAAGATGTGTGTTTGGAGACGGGGTCGGGTGGGGTGGCTGTTTCAGACACAGCAAACACACTTTGTGTGAAGTCCCAGTGGCAAGAGAAACTGATATTCACTAGAAGAATCTGAACGAAGTTCAGAATATCTTGAGTGTAGAGTTAGTTAGAGGCAGAAAGGAGACTTAGAAGTAGGTGTAGGGGGCCAAGAGGAATTGTTTTTAGACTCATAAGGCCTTCCTGAGAGCTGGAGCTTGAAGCAAAAGCTTTGCCTTATCAGATTAGCATGGCTGCCCTGGGAAGTAAGGGTAGAAATAAGGAGATGGAGAGGAAGCTGTGCAGTGGGCAGGTAGAGGAAGGTGGTGGCTTGGACTAGGGTGGAGACTAAGGATGGAGAAAAGTGGGCAGGTCCAAGATGTTTTAGGAGGTAGAATTCATGAGATTTGTGACTGAGTGGTTGAGAGATACGTGGTGGATGGAGCCATGAAGGAGGAACCCCCCCACCACCGGTTTCTGGATTGGCAATGAACTTCTACCCCATTTGCTCAACAAATGTTTACAACGTGCAATAAACACTGAAAAAATAGGTCTTGTTTATTAAGCAGAAGGTGTTATTATAACCTCATTTTACAAACAAAATTGACATCTAGAAAGCCTTGGTGACTTGCCCCAAGTCATAGTGCAAATAAGTGACGGGGGTGGGATTTGAATCTAGGACCGTATAGCTTTTAGACTCCCTAATTCCACTTCATCAGAGACCTTAGGATCACCTACGTGCTTTTTAAAAACTCAGAATCCTGAACCACCCATTCCACCTTGGACCTTGGGACTCAGAATCTCTGGGGTATGGGGCCCAGGACTCTGCATTTTATTTTATTTTTAAAGATTTTATTTATTTATTTGACAGAGAAAGACACAGCGAGAGAGGGAACACAAGCAGGGGGAGAGGGAGAGGGAGAAGCAGGCTTCCCACGGAGCAGAGAGCCTGATGCGGGGCATGATCCCAGGACCCTGGGATCATGACCTGAGCCGAAGGCAGACGCTTAATGACTGAGCCACCCAGGCGCCCCAGGATTCTGCATTTTAAATAAGCATTCCAGGTGCTGCTGATGCTCGCTGACATCTGAGAATGACTATCACCATGCCGCCTCTCACTGTCCTAGCTGGAGAAACATCCTTCCATGAGCCCTCTCAGGGCCTTCCCCAGCTACCCAGAGATTGCTGGGGGACAAATGTAAAAGAGGAGACTCTAGGTGGTCTCAGAAACAAGATGGTCATAGTTAATCCTCTGGATCATGAAGTGCCTCAGTTCCAGTCCTGGAAGCTCCATAAGAGCAAATGAAGTCATGATCTGGTGCTTGACGACATTGCTCTGAAAGCGGTCCATCCTCCCAGCCAGAGACAGGGGTATGGGTGGGTCCACAGGCTGGGGTAAGGGGTGGCCATGAGACAGAGGCCCGGATTCCACCTCAGCCTCCCAGGCACTTCTACCTCCAGATCTGTTCTCAAGCCCTAGAGACCTCTACCAACATCATTCAGGGCTCTAGACCACAGACGGGATCTTGGAGCTCATTTTGTGCAACCCTCCCATTGTAGAGCTAGAAAACCTGAGGCCCAGAGAGGACTGTTTGCCCTACAGTCCCCTCTGCCCTTGGGTGCTGGTTGGCATTGGGCAGGGTAGTATTTTGGCAGGTGGCCTGACAGCAACACCTCTCAGCCGAAGCCCTGCTAGTTGTAAGGCGGATCTGTGAGGCCGGCACTCCTGTTTGCTCAGCAGCTGTGCCAGGCTAGGCCTCGCCCTGGACAAACACAGCCTGCCCAGCGGCAGGCACCAAGCTCCTTTGTTCTTGCGCCTGATAGCAGGGCTAGCAGGTAACAGAGGGCCCGTCCTCACCGGATGTTGGCACCATGGTTCCCACGGGAATGCTTCCTGATCAAGGGGCCGACAGGCTGAAGGGCATCCAGGTGCTGGCTACAACAGCCTGGGGCAGGAAGGTGACCACCTGGCAACAGAGCCGATGGGAGCGGGGGGCAGGTGGAGGCATGGGGACCGAAAGCCAGGCCAGATTGGGAAAGCTGGGCCACCTCCATCTCTTTGGAGCCAGGCGGGCAGAAGGTCCTAACCTATCCTTCCAAGCTGAGAAGGTGCCAAGGAACCCAAGGAGCAGCCTCTGAACTTTGATTTGGAATGAAGGGAAAATGTCCAGAGGGAGGCCAAGGTCCCTCTCTCTGAGCCCATCATCCTTCACCCATTTGAAACTAGGAGGAAGCTTAACGTAGAAGCCAGAGCTTGCTGAGTACAAATCCTGGCATGGTCATTCACCAGCTGGGTGATAAGAAGATGAACCTTCCTGAGTCCAAGTATCCATGGGAATGAAGGTGGGATGATGACCATACCTCCCTTGCAGGCCTATTGTGATACTCTGGCCGCAGGGCAGGAGCACAGCAGGTGGCTGTTAAATGGTCCCTATGATAATTAATACCCAGTCCCCGAACCTCTCTGGAAATGCTGACAACTAGAGGAGTGACTATGAATTGAATCGGGGCTTAATGCCCCCTGTGGCTGTGACCAACTTCAGATCCTCTTTAAAAAGATAATAAATAGGGACACCTGGGTGGCTCAGTCAGTTAAGCGTCTGCCTTCGGCTTAGGTCGTGATCCCAGGGTCCTGGAATGGAGCCCCACATCAGGCTCCCTGCTCAATGCAGAGCCTGCTTCCCCCTCTACAATATATTGCAAATAAATAAATAAATAAATAAATAAATAAATAAATAAATAAATAATCTTTAATAAAAGAAAGATAATAAATACGTGTCCCTGGATTTGTGGGTTGGGGATTGTTGCAAGAAAGTTGAAACTGGGAGGGCACCTGGGTGGCTCAGTTGGTTAAGCAACTGCCTTCGGCTCAGGTCATGATCCTGGAGTCCCGGGATCAAGTCCCACATCGGGCTCCCTGCTCAGCGGGGAGTCTGCTTCTCTGCTTCTCCCTCTGACCCTCCTCTCTCTCATGCTCTCTCTCTCTCTCTCATTCTCTCTCTCAAATAAATAAATAAATAAAATCTTAAAAAAAAAAGAAAGTTGAAACTGGGAGAAGAGAGGTTGGCAGTAAATGATGGTGGGATGGATCTGATGAGTGCTTTTTGGGCTCAGATCGAGGACCAGGATGGGGGCAAGGAGACCAGTGACGAGACCGCAGGCAAGAGTTGATGATGACCAAGCTGGTGGTAGCACAGTGGTCTGAACAGCAGCGTGGGTGGTCATTTACAGGAAGAGAAATAAAGACTTGAGGAGGAGCCATTTGGTCGGGGAGGGGCAGGGTTGAGGACTGAGGGTGTCATTTTGGACTGGCTACATTTAGGAGGCTGGTTAGACATCCACAAGTGCACATTGAGCAGAGAGCTGGCTTCACCACTCCCACCTCCACCACTGACCACACCCCCCCACAGGGTCTCAGGTTTTCTAGCTCTACAATGGGAGGGTTGCACAAGATGAGCTCCAAGATCCCATCTGTGGTCTAGAGCCTTGAATGATGTTGGTAGAGGTCTCTAGGGCTTGAGAACAGACCTGGAGGTAGAAGTGCCTGGGAGGCTGAGGTGGAATCCGGGCCTCTATCTCATGGCCACTCCTTACCCCAGTCCTGTGGACCCACCCATACCCCTGCTATCTACACAGCCTCAACTCTGGTCTCTCTCTGTCCCTTGGAGGCATGACCTCAGGGCCTTTGCACTGGCTGTTCCTTCTGCCTTGGTGGTCTCTTTCCAGTTCTTACAGAGCTGCTGTCTCTCAGAATTTAGGTCTCCACTTAGAGGTGACCCCCCAGCCCA